CCGGGCGGGAGACTGGGGCGCGGCCTCGCGTGTCGCGGAGTTCCGTTTAAAAGGGGAGCAAGGCAGCTGTATCCGGGAGGGTGAGGTGTGTTAGTCTCTGTGGGATGATGAAGTTCCTCTGGATGTGTAACCACATCATCGGCCCTGAAGATCTAGTTCTAGAAGGAAGAAATATTTTACGCTGAGGGTGGTGAGGCGCTGGCACAGGTTGCCCAGGGAGGTGGTAGATGCCCCGTCCCTGGAAACACTCAAGGTCGGGTTGGATGGGGCTCTGGGCCTGACCTAGTGGAAGGTGTCCCTGCTCACTGCAGGGGGGTTGGACTAGATGACATCCATGGTCCCTTCCAACACAAACCATTCTGTGATCCTTGTTTTCCAGGATGCGTTACGTTGCAGCTTACCTTCTAGCAGTCCTTGGTGGCAATGAGTCTCCCACATCAAAGGACTTGAAAAAGATCCTCGACAGCGTTGGCATTGAGACGGACGATGAGCGCATGAACAAGGTGGTATTGCCTCTTCATTCCAGATGGTCATATCCCAGCCAGCATCAGACCTGGGAGCTGTTTCCTTGGCTTCAGTGTTTCTTTAATTGCCTTGCTCTTATTTTGTTCAGATGTATTTAACATTTGGCTTTCACAAAGATTTCTGTAAGTTGTAGCTGACTTCTGACTGTTCAGTCTAACAGTTTTCAATGGGATGGTACCTACAGATAAGGATACATTGAAAGTCAGTTCTGTTCTACATAATGCTCACTGCAGGAGGGTTGGACTAGATGACCTCTGTGGTCCCTTCCAACTCAAACTAATCTATGATTCTATGGTAACATACAGTTTGCTGTTTATGTTTTAATTTGGGTTCTGGTCAGTAGTGATTTAAAGCTAACACTTCTAAAGGCCTTCTGTTCAGTAGTAAATTTCTATTTAGTGTACTGCAAAGAAACATTTGTTCTCTTGCCAAGAAACAGGCAAATATAACATGGACGTTAACAGTATTAAATGCTAATATGTAGGAAGATTTTGGAAATTAATGCTAAAATTGATGTGTTGAAAAACAGGCTTTTTAAGAAGACAGTATCTTACTTAGAGCGTTTCTTATGATATGATAGGCTTTCAGCCTTGTAAACTTAAAAATAAATGGCCATAGGAAAAAAAAAAAGGTCTTATCACCTGGCCTATACTTGTATGGGGAGTGTTTCCAGAGAGGTAGAGGAGAAACCAAGTTGCTTTCCCAGCTGGAGACAGTGTTTTATCATAGGGCCAACCAAATAATGGGTTGTCAGAGCAGACAGCATCCTTACTATGGTTTGGAATGTTGAACTTGTGGTGCACCAGGTCTTTGGCTTGTTTACATTTGTTTAATACCTTCATGAATTACTTACATAAATTACAAAAAGTACTTAAAGGGGGACTACATGAAGGATGGGCAGGCACTCTTTATCAGGGAGTGTAGTGATAGAGGATGAGGAGTAATGGCTTCGAGCTGACATAGAGGAGATTGAGATGAGATCTGAGGAAGAAATGTTTTCCTGTGTGGGTGGTGAGGCAGTGGCCCAGGTTGCCCAGAGAAGCTGTGGATGCCCCATCCCTGGAGGGGTTCAAGGCCAGGCTGGATGAGGCTTTGGGCAACCTGGGCTAGTGGGAGGTGTCCCTGCCCATGGCAGGGGGGTGGAACTTGATGATCTCCAAGGTCCCTTCCAACCCAAACCATTCTGTGATTCTATAAATTAGTTGTTTTCTCTTATCCTTCAGTATCTGTAAATCTCTGGAATTTGTTTTGGTCGTGATTAATTAACCCTTTAAGTGCTTGCTTGCTTTAGCAATTCTTTGCTTTTGTATTTTGCTTCCCTTACCCTGGTTATACAACAGTGGCGGTAAAATTGCCATTGGGACCCTGTGTTCCAGTGCAGGATACAACAGCCAGCTCGTCTGTAACATTTGCTAATGCTAGGATCAGGACCCTGTGGATTTTGGTCTGGGGCCCAGTGCTTCAGAGCCTCCCAGTGGGTATTAAGCAAGATCTGTTAACAGTCCCTCAGTGACTAACAGACCATTAGTGGGGTTTCCTAATTGGCTCCACAACATGTGTGTATCCTTTTTGCAAGGTCCTTGAATTCATTATGAATTTATTGGAACAGATTTCACAAAAAACCTTTCACAGAAAAGTATGAAAGACTTCACTGAAGTTTTCATTTCAATGTCCTGCTCCTTCCAGTGAGAAATCAGGAATGTTGGGGCTGTGTAAGCAGTAGGAGGGAGGTGCCACACATGATCATTAATCAGTACTTGTTTAAATGTAGCTTATACTCGTGCTGTTTTGAAACTACTAACATTCTATACTTAATTTACACAGGTTATTAGTGAGCTGAATGGCAAAAACATTGAGGATGTCATTGCTCAGGGTAAGTGGAGTGTCTGAGTGTCACAGATCATTGCCTCTACTACTCTGGTAACTTAGACCTGGGAGCGTAGAATTGCTGCCCGTTGCCTGATTATTCATCAGTTTAGCTTTGTGATGAAGGGCTTCCATGCTGGATCTGGGCTGAAATGACCCAGATCCAGGTCCATTCTAATTCCCTGCAGGTTGGTGCCAGTACCTGCTGGGTTTCGCTTGTGGACCACATTAAACTGGAAAACTTAAAAATGTATGAGCTTACTGGTAGTCTGCTCATGACATGGTATTCTGGACATGTTGATTGGAGAAAGAATTATCTGTCCCTCAAGTTCTCTGGGAGACTTTTTCTTTGTGTTTACACACTTCTATGCACCAGTTACATAAAACAGGAAGCACAGACCTAAAGTAAATGTCAATTCATATTCAGTGTACTGTTACACCCCCTGCGATTAATACAAGCCTCTCCAGTACGTGTCTCTCCTAGAGCTCCCCAAGTCTGGAATTTCTTTTTCTCTAAGATAGGACTCCTGAGTGCTGACTTCTGCAGAAGTTTGTGCTCTTACCTGCTGGCTCTTACCAAAGCTGGAACTGTAACATGAGTTGACTGGGTCGTAGGGCTGAAATAAGGCAGAGCTGAGGTAGTGCAGAGGTTTCTGATTAACTACTTTATTTTTTGCAAGTGCATAGGCACAAGGGAACTTTTACACATATATTTGCTTAAAGGACTTTGCCTGGTCTTGCTGTTCGAGGCAGTAACTGGACATTTCTACCCGTGTGGTCTGAAGACCTAAGAGAGCCGTTATGCATGTGCTTACAACACGCTTATGCTATCTCTTTCTGTATTACTTTTCCTTTAAATAGTGTCCTAGAACATGCTGACATGCATATGAAATATGTTTGTTTACTTGGCTACTTTATTAGAGCTTGAAGTAAGAGCAAATTATTTAGAAACTGATTCCCAGAAACTGGAATACAGGCAAACATACTGTGTACACGACCTCTGAATGCCAAGGGAGCCTTGGTATGTGAAAGGCAGATGCTAGAGAACTCGCCAGCTTTCCAAAGAAGAGCATAAATCAGAAGTCAGTTTGCTAATCTCAAAGGAGATGCAACAGGGTTCATGGAATGCTGGAGAATTTGTGTAAAATACTATACTCTTTGCCATCAATACATCTTTCCCCCTGCCTGCTTCTCTCCTGTACGTGTAATCGAGTCATGCCCTCACAGTTCTCTCTACTGTTAAACAAACCAGAGGGGGAAGAGAAACAAGGGAACACAGTGCTGCCTAGATGCTATTTTTGAGGTATATTGAAATTATCAATTTCTGGGCTATTACAGAATCACAGAATGTTAGAGA